ACAGAAGCTTTCTTTCTCTCAATAAATGTAATCTAGTCTTATCCTCTGTTGTTGCTAAAATTCATTCTTTTATTTAGAGAATATGAACTCATACCAGACATATAGTAGGTTGGGAGTTTCACTTCCCTGTATCATGAAGACCACAGTTTTAAAGTAGCAACTTCACACCAAACTGAGACAGCAGCACCGGAAGGGAGCTCATGGGGGCTTCAGTCTATGGATATTTAACATGGAAAATTTCAGTTTGGATGACCCAGCATGAAACAAAGAAAAGCAAGGTACATCATTCTGTTCAGAGAGAGAGAGAGAGAGAGAGAGAGAGACCAAGACACAGAGAGACAGAGAGACAGAGAGACAGAGAGAAGAGAAAGGGAGACAGAAGAGGATCAGCTGAGGGTTTAGTTCAGTGGCACAGGCGCCTGCTAGGCAAGTACAGGGTTGTGAGTTCAATCCCTGGTATAAACAAAAAAAAAAAAAAGAGAAGAATAAAAAAGAGGATCACCAATCAATTGAATTATATTTCTTTTCTATTCCAGTTGCCTGATCTTTCCTAATTCCTCTCCCAGCTTCAATGTCCTCCTAAAACCAGAGGAAACCTGTAGTAGCACATTCCACCCAGCAGGGTGGGACAACGGTTGTATTCTCAGTGACTCCCCTGCACCCAAGCTCCTCCCATCTTTATCTTACTGTGCTTGAAGACACTTTCTTGCTTTATTCTAGGACTTGCTGTCCAGAAAGTGGCAAACCCATTCACAGGTGACAGTCAGTGCCTCGAAGAGGCTCAATCAGCAAATAAAGCCTGAAGGCAGGACTGGATGGCTTATGATAGGTTCAACTGGGTAACAGGAGGAGTGCTGGGAAGATTTTCCTCATATCACTTGTCTATCAGCAGCCCAAAGAGTCAGGAAGAAAAGCACGAGACTCAGAACCAAGTCAGTTACACAGCTGCAGCCTGCGGTGATTGTGAAAGCAAAGAGGACTGTATCCTGAGGAAACCTTCTCTGACACCTTCCCTTTGAGCTGACATCACTGACAGCTCAAAGGTTTATCTAGGTTCCTGCTACCCCTGGGATTGTGTCTGTCTTAGTTATTTTTCTCATTGTTGGGACAAAATATCCAACACCCAAAATTAAAGGAGGCAAGGTTTATTTAGTTCACAGTTTGTGAGGGTTTCAGTTCATAGTTGGCTGACTCCAAGGCAGGATGGCATGGCAGAAGGACGACAGTTGTTGGTGGTGGAAGACAGGAACAGCAATGAGACAGACAGAGACAGAGACAGAGACACAGAGAGAGAAGGGACAAGTCTCTTTCTGTCCCTTATATTGTATGATGGCTACCTGCCCTAGGGCGAGTATAACACTCACATCCTTAATTCTAGTACTGAACTATGAATCAGTTTCTGAAAAGCCTGCCCCTACATGACCACATGAGGCTTTGGGGGGACATTTGGACACAAATCATAACAGGGTCTATTTAAGAAGTGTTCTTATGGGTCTTTTAAGAACATTTCAAACACTTGGGGAGGGGAAAGGAGTTGGAAGAAGGATGAGAAATGTCATTGTTCATCTGGGCTTCTCTGAACCTCCTTACATATGGACTCCTGATAGGTCTGAGAACCCACAGCGTTCAGGTGCAGGGAAAAACATATGCAATCCATACACCAACCCTGCTGCAGTAGGAAAAATATCACGGTGTAGTGATCTCTAAAAGATATTTCTAAACCCTAACTCCTAATACCTGTGAAGATGACCTTATTGGAATTGGATTTGTGCAGATATAATTAAGGATACTAAGAAAAAATAATGCTGAATTTAAGATGAGGTCTAAATCAAAGCATAGACATATTTCTCTACGTAAGACAGGTCTGAGACAAGGCTACAAGGAGAATACCTTGTGGGGATAGAGGCAGAGGTTAGAGTGATACATCTACAAGCCAAGGAACATTAAGAATTGCCAGCAACCACAAGGCAGGAAGTGAATTCTCATTCAGAGCCTCTTGTTCAGAAGGTATCAGTTCTGCTGACACCCTGACTTCAAACTACTTGACTTCCCAAACTGGGAAAAAATGTTTCTGGGTTTTCAAAGCCACTCTGCTTTCATAAATTTCCTACAGCAACTACAGTTGCTATGACTGTTTACATCCCTGTCCATAGGAATACTATATACTACCTGATGGTAGAGAAGTGAAAGTTGACAATATTGACTTAAAAAATGGATATTCCAATCTTGGCTGAATCATCTAATGAGAAAGGTCTACATAACATGAATGCACTGACCCACGGCACCAAGTCTCATAAAACTATAAAGGTATTACACTAAGAACCAGCGAGAAGTGGAGATTTATTTTTAGCTCCCTCCCTTCCTGTCCCTCTTCCTGTCTTCTCCCGGCACTCGGGGTGACACACACATGCCAGAGATCACAAGGTGAAGAAGCAGCATGTCAGAGAGTGACAAGGCACAATTTCCTGGAACTGTTTAAAAAATTTTAAAGGACCAACTGTCAAATATATAATGTCTGACACCACAAAGTCTGTGGAATTCCCAAAAAACACACACATCACTTGTCCCTCTCTCTTGATCTCAGTGAACCATGATCACATCCATCTCTAGAATATAAATACCATTGAAATTGTACAATGACCAAAAATATATTTCAGAGGTTAGGCATTAAAATTCAGAGATATCCCTTGGGATGGTTGAACAGAAGTCAATCTGAAAGAATATTCTTGTCACCAGTTCAAGAATAGATACACCTCAGAATCACCTGAGCAACTTAGAAAAATTTATATATAAAAAAAACCTCTCATGATGATTGAAATGGCAATAAGATACTGTATTTTTTCTAACTGGTTGATAAAAATGACGTAGTTCTGAGAATGCCAGTGATTGAACATAAAAGTCGTGGGAAGGAACACCGACGCATGCTGGGAGAGTGTAATATAAATTAAAGCAGTGTTCCCACACTGGAAACCAGACCGACAATATCTAATGCTGGAGAATGCACCAACCCTGCCACTCAGTAATTCCTCTTGGACATGTGTACCAAGAGACATGTACAAAACTACTTACAGTAGTCTTACTTGTCATTGCAAGCATCAGGACACAACTCAAATGACCAATACAGGACAAATAAATTGCACTAATTTCGGTATCAAAACAATAAAACATGTACCCAAAGAGAAAACTTACAAAAGAACAATATGATTTCATTGACAATAAAAAGTCCCAAATATGAAAATCTAATCAACATGATGTTTGGAACTATAAACCTCTTGTCCACAAAGAAAGGCAAATGAATTATTAACATGAAATGCAAGATAGTGGCTATCTCTGAGGAAGGAAAGAAATCTGTGATCTAGGTAGAAGACAAAGGGACTGACAATATTTAAACTCTTATGCTTGGTATTAAGAACGGGGATGGTAGTTTCACTGTAATCTTTAACCTGTGCATACATATTACATTTGTGCATTTGCATATGCTAGATTTCATGATAAAAATGTAAAATGTGAACATTCCTAGGCTCCATCGCTAATCTCTTCAATTGAAATCTTAGGCTATGGGGCCCAAGTATTTTTTATAAGTGTTTCACGAGATTTGGGTGCATTACTGGGTTAAGAACCTCTTACCTACATATCATATCCAAATAAAAATAGTTTAAAATATGAATCAACATTAGGAAACCTCAAGAGAGGCGTAACAACAGAAAGTTCAGTTCAGGAGAATGTACAGAGAGGAAAGGTGTTTCGTAGTTGTGTTGTCATGTCAGAGTTCAAGGCTGATGTACAACATAAACCTGAGAGAATTAATTCCTTTTGTGTCACATCCATCGGCTTCCTAAACGCCATGTCTGTTAAGCTCTTGAGTTCCATGAGCCTGAGATAATCACCTTTAAGGACTTAGCCACAGAGCAGGCTCTGGCCACAGCTTTGTCTATAAAAACAGAAACATGATGTGATAGAAAGTTACCTTATCTAAGACTCATCACCAAAACCATTTCATCCTGGGCCCAGGAGAATGATCTGTTTGTTTTTAGTTCAGCCAGTGCCTTCTCTGAGGCTTCACTTTTTCATCAGCCCTTTTTCTCTCGCAAAATTCAAACCCAACAAGGCTGCATAGGTAGAAAGAAGTGCTTTGCAAACTGTTAATACTCCTCTGAGTGTCTGGTAATCTCAGTATCATCTCACTTAGTATCTCTTCCCCCAAAACAGAAACATGGGCTGTCAATTTGGGCTTAGCAGAATTTTTTGAATCCAACAAATTGAGGGCCTAAGGTTAGGATCGGAGAGACCTGAAGGCTGGGCTAGAGCTTGGTACCTCTACATCTCTCTAAACCTCTACAAATATGTAACATTCTGGGTCTACCTTGTTTAATTAATTCAGAAGGGGATGTTCATAAACAGCTCAGAACTATTGGAAGCATCATGCAAAACAAATGTGCAGCCTGAATATTCATGAGTAGCTTTGAAACAAAACTTTAACCTAATTTTACTTAGCCTTCCAAATTAAGAATACCTGATTTAGGAACCAAAAATATAGGATACTCAATCACATTTAAAGTTTTTAGTATAACTGGCATAGTTTTTAATATGAGTATATTTTAACAATTGCCTGAGAGATACTTACACTAAAAATTGTTTGTTGTTCACCTGAAATTCAAATTTAATCATGCATCTTGTGCTTTATTTGGCAAGCCCATAACAAAATAAGCATATTTTTCTCTATCTTATTTTGGGAAAATCTGCATGAAAGGAAGTTATGACATCCAATGTCTATTTTTTAGTGGAGGAGGAGAGGGTTGGTCTGGTCTTGTCATTAGACTTACATAGTCTAATTCCTTGCAAAGCCCAAGGAGCCATGGTGGGACTTGTATATTAAAAGTAGGTTTCAAAGGAAACAAAACAGAGACTTATAGAAAAGCATCACAATTTCAGACAGGAAAAGGGCACCCCAGTCTAGGGCTGACCCATCACAGACTCTTTCCAACAGCCTCTGCTCTTACCTCTGGGCATCTCCTTAGAATGTTCTGCTTCAGGTCCATCCAACAAGTCCATCTGCGAGGCCTCCTCAGAGGGTACACGGCGCCAGGACCAGCTCTGGTTTCCACGGTCATGCAGTGGAGGAGAATACTCCAGCTCACAGGGAAAGTCAAAGCTGCACTCCAAACCTGCAATGACAGCTAATGGTTAGCAGAACACAGTGTTTCCCAAGTATGGCCCCCTTTATTCCAGAAAGGTGGCCTTAATCTCACCCACAACCTACAACCTCTCAGGAGAGGTGAGCTGTCAATTCCATAGGCGACTAGGCTTTATGATGAAACAAAGGGGACCAAAAGGAAAAAAGAAATGCAACCTTCCTGTAACTCACAGCACAGGAGAAGTCCTCAGGGAAGCCTCCTAAACCAAACAGCTAACAGACTGGACAGTGAGGGGCTCTGTGTCCTGTGGGGCTGCCTAGTGATAGGAGAGGGCTTGAGCAACCATGTAGATTTCACTCTAACCGGCTCTGAAAAAGTAGAGGACATCAGGGACTATAATATCCACTTCTTGAGTTTTCCAGGAGAACTGGCACTAAAATGTTATTAGCTACATACAGTTGGTACTCAGGAGAGATCCTAGCCAGGCTCTGCCCTGTCTGACTAAGAAACAGGTCAAAGAGAATACAAGTCTTACACACAGTCCCGCTCTACCAGCCCTGTAATGCACCCTACTATCTGCCTGCCAGTGAAGGGGCAGGAATAAATCAGGGTTTACTCTTTCTTGGAGAAGGACTCGGGAAGGTCACTGGGTTAGGAGAGTCAGAGAGAGGCAGGAAGGAACCACACCCGGGACATTTATCATCTTCCTGTGCATTTCTTGGGGGGAAATCATCTTGGGGCTCACTTCTTCCCCATTTGCCCTGATTTGGGGGTAGCCATATCGTTTAGCTCCTCTTTTCCCACCTTTCCTGTCCAGTGGCTGGAATGCTTTGCACATGGCAGCACTCAGAGCTTCCAGGCAGATTAAGAGAAGATGTGCCAATATGCAAACTATTCTGTCACCCATGCTTCGTCTTCCCCTCAGCTGCAAGGCTGTGAAAACAGATAGTGTGGTATAAAAAGACGGAATATTGGACAAGGAACGTGAGAAATGTGGCTTGGGTCTGGGCTGGGATAGTCACTTCTCATGGATAAATTTTATTTTCCTCATCTGTAAAGTAAAGGGTTTATAGATGAGACGAACTGAGGAACCAAAGAGCCCAGAGAAACCTGGGCTCTGCTCCAGCTTGGACTGATTTTCTGGTGACCTTCAGTAAGTCACTTAACCTTTGTGGACCTCAAGTTCCTTCACAGAAGACACAGAACAGATGTTTTCCAAAGTTCCTTCTTCATTTAACTTTATTAAGATTCCAAAGTCCTTGCTCTCAGAAGGGTTTTAGAGAATTTGATAAATCAATCTGCGTGGTAGTGCTGTACTATTGGGTGCTAAGTCCCAATTAGCATTTGTGCTTTTAAACAGCTGCTTCTGGGGTCACGACTGCCTCCATCTCCAAGACAAGTCTGGTTTGGGGAATTTCCCAATGCAGCAGAGAGATTCTGCTGCAGGAGGCAGAGATTCTACAGCAGAGGATGGCCAGCTCACTGATGGTCTCTTAGTCACAGCCAGGGGCAGCTGGCCCCGCCTAGGAGTAGGAGTTAAGATAATTCCCAGTGACACCAGCCAAACTATCTCAGCTTAAAGAAGGAGGAAAACTGCAATTACACTTCTGTTAAGTATCTTTCTGCTTCTCAGCCAGTAGAGATTTATGTTTCCATCTGCTCTCCAGCAGCGCCGTCCTTCTGGTCCTTAGGTTAATGCCACTGGCCCTTTCACGATCCGGACAATTCACCTTTATAGTGGCAAGCTGAAATGATAGATCCTGTCTTGTTGAAGGTGACATGCCACTGATGCCTACATATTTATTGGTTCAGGAGATTTCAGCTGCTCCTGACTCCACGGCTACTACGTACACAGTTGATGTTCAAGAATCTGAACTTGCTTGCCAAATACCTGGTTTTGACAGCAGAATGTAAGGAGAAAACTCATCCTACATTTGTATTTTGCAACAGCAAAATGACTCTCAAAAGGACAGATCTGGCCATTGCATAAGGCTCCTCTGGGGAGAGCCAAAAAGACAGGCAAGCGTGGGTGAAAGATCTGTGAAAACCCAGGAGAGAGAGAGCGATCGGTCACTCCCAGCCCAGACTGACAACCACAGGTGCCTGTCTCAGCTCCTGCAGGTTTTACCTTCTGCAACTATCTTGTGTCTTGACAGTTTACCTCCAACCCAAGCTCTGCTTATGACAGAACTAAATCAGGCACTGCCCAGCCTATGTGCGCTATTGGACAAACGGGCAACAGAATCCACAATGCCACACTGAGCGTCACCAGTTCTTGGATCTTTGAACTTGTGGAGTGTGACAATCTGCTTGCTTGGGTCAGACCTTGCCTAACAAAACCAGCAAAGTAACTCCCAAGATTACCCAATGAGTTTGTTTTAAAATTCTTGCTTCAAGGCATCCGAAGTCAAATCTGTACTCTCTTGCTTTTAAATGAATGGAGTTAACATTACTGCTCATTTGGGGGAAACTGAATGAGACTTTCTACATTTTTATTTTAATTACTCATAAAATATTCAGAGAAAGCTTTTTTCCCCTCTTTCAAGTTACTCTCAGTACTTTGGGGGAACAATACTTGGGACCCATCTTCTGTAACAGTAGCAGGTTAAGTTTTCTTTTCCTCCAGTCTTTCCTTTTATGAAAAAAAAAACTTCTATTAGTATACGTTTACAGTAAATAATGATCACATTCATTGTGGAGAATGATACATGTACATAACACATTTCAACCTGTTTTTTCCCCTTTCTCCTACCCCTCTTTTATTCTTTGAGCATCAGATTCATTTATTTATCATACAAGACCTTATAAAGTTAATTATCCTATAGTCAGGTTAAAGGCCATACTAACAGGCCAAAAACATAAAACCCAGAAGATGACTGTACCATGTCAAAGTATATTTTGTGCTAATGACAATAACTTTTTTCTCTCTTCTTCATGTTATCTGTTTTATTGCATATTGTATTTATATGTTTAGTTCTCTTCATGTAAGAGAAATCATATGATACTTATGGTGGTGTGTCTGATTTACTTCATTTAACATTATGGTCTCAAGGTGCATCTGTTTTCTACAAATGACTCAATTTTATCCTTCTTTATGGCTCAGTAGTACGCCATTGTATATAACCACATTTTCTTTATTCATTCATCTGTCAATGGACATATAGGAGGTTTTCAAGAGGTTCCAGATCTGCGATGGTTTTTGAATCCCTCTCCCTAGCCCTCTTTTGACTTGGGGACTGTGTAGCAGGGGTTGTATATTTCTTTTCCCAAGGAATGGAGGGCTTCAATTAAATGCTCAGTGTTAAGCAACCCCATGGCAGAGGCAGGGTTCACTCCGGAAACCGTGGGGAACACCCCTCACTGAGCCTCTCTGGCTGTCCGCATGTCTTATCTTACCCTGTTTAACCTGTGGAACAGCCCTGAGAAGTGTTCTTTCCTCAGAAAGCTTACTTCCCAAAGGACTCTTCCAATGCAGAGGCCGAAAGAGACCTCAGCCTGGATAACTCTGCAGATGCAAAGTTTTTCATCAAATCTTCCATAGCTTCAGAATCTCAACCCAAAGAACAAATCAAATAAGGGGTGAAAATCTTGTGTAAAGATTTACATTCTTAGACCCAAGGTATGCAACTTTCCATATGTGCAAAGGTTCCCACACCGTCTCAGCATCCAGCCCATTCGTAAACTGACTGAGACCTTCACAAGGATCCAGAGATTTCAGGCTCACTGTATATAGCCACTTCGGTCCAGGAAAATATGACCATTAAGAAACAACAATTAGAGTAAATTACTATGTGTCTATAAAAAAGGTGAAAAGAAAGAAGGAAGGAAGAAAATGAAGGAGGAATCGAAGGAAAAAGGAAGGAAGGAGAGACAGCAGAGAGGAGAGGAGAGGAGAGAGGCAGGGAGGGGAGGGGAGAGGGGAGGAGAGAGGGGAGGGGAGGGAAGAGGGGAGGGCAGATGGCAGGGGAGGGGAGGAGAGGAGAGGAGAGCTGCTGATTATATAGTTGAAACCACCGCCACTGTCTTTCTTCTCAATTCCACAGTAGAAGAAATATAATCGATGCTTCTGGAAACCATCTGTCTACGGAGAGAAGTGCCGAAGACTATGAAGGGAACGGTCTTTAGCAAGGCAGTAAAGTTTCAGTCCTGTATCCAGCAGCTGAGGAACCCAGCAGGTCTATTCCCTTCTCTGTACCTCACTTTTTACATTTGAAATCTGAGAGGAAGGAGGTACACAGCCAAAGAGGTGCCTTCCAGCTCTGGGGGTTGGAGGCTCTACAAACTCCTGCCGGCTGACACAGTCACTTCCACTCTTTATGCCTCCACTAGGAAGCTGCCATCATCTCAGGAGACAACCTAAGAAAGGAGGCTGCCTATACATCAATCACAGTCAACGGGGACTCAGTTTCCCTCCAGATTCTCAAAGAATCACAAAAGCCAAGTGAGACAAGTTATAAATGATTGTTTCACAGTGAATGAGAGTAGGAGAGAGACAGAGACAGAGACCAAGAGACAGAGAGAGAAGGATCTTACCAGTATGTACCTAGATCCTAAAACTTTTCAGGGTATCGGACACACAATCTGAATTTATTAACAGACAGCGCAAGACACTGTCTTAGTGTGTAACACGGCCATTCAGGAGAAAGTTGTGGACACTGATGAGAGATGCTCTGGGCAATCTGCCCAAAAGGATGCATGGTCTTTTTATCAGGCCCTTTTGGCTGTGAAGGAGGAGGAATACTCAGAACCAGAGCGTGGAAATCCAGTCTTTAGGAATGTACAAGACCACTAATACCAAAGCAACCACGCCAAAGGGTATGATTAGGAAGGTTCCATCAAAGCTCTGTTAGCTCCAGGTCCTTTCCACATGTGCAGAGAGGGAGCAGAGAAATGTGCTTTGCACACATGATCTCCCCTTGGGTGGACTTGGAAAACCTAACAACCCATGACCAGAGGCTTCCAAAGTGGTGCTTTGTGCACTTGAATCCTTAATCTGTCAACTCAGAGGCCTCCCCCAAGTTTTCTAAGTC